GGGTCTTCGTCCCGCGTCTCGCCACAAGTAACTGGAAACTGTCAGGAGTTCTCGCAGGAAGACGACGAGGACTAGGAACGCCATGGCCACTAGAGACGAGAACATGACGACATCTGACCAATTTTGCTAGCCGGCCACGTGGGTGGTGCGCGCGCTCATTTCACACGAGCATGCGCATTGAATCACCTGACGTCACTTGACGTGTTTAGCAACGCTACATAAACCGGCCCTTCTTCCTTGACAACCTCATTTTTGTCTTTTTTGCAGCTGCGCGAGTTGTGCTGCTTTCAAGCAGAAAAGAAAGGAGATTTTGTTGTTTAGCTGTTGTCGCAATGTAGGTCGTAGAGTGTGTCTAGAGCTTTTGCAGTTGAGTGGCTTCGTTTGTGCAGTTGTCAAGTAGCGAGAAAGTCAGTAGCCTGAGGGCGAGCAGTAACGTAGCTAGTTGTAGTGTCGTCTCTTCCAAGAAAGTGTAGGCTGTAGTCAGGTAGCGAGAGAGAGTCGGTCGTCGGAGCGAGAGAGAGTGGCCAGTAACTGACGGCCGACTGAGCTCCTCGACATCCATGGCCTCCCCCGCCCCTCGTCTCACCGACGGTCCACGACAAGAAATGTGAGCGAGGCCGCGCGCTTCTGCGGCGACGAGGGTTAGTAGATAGTACTGAACGATACACCATAACCAAATAGGAAAGTGCACAAAAACTCCATTCCGCCCACAGAATTGTTTCGTGAGAACGAAAGAGGTGTACATTTGTTTTTGCTGCGTATGTAGTGGGAAAGGGGTTAATTTGATAGCATAGTAAGTGTGGAGTTCGGGTGTAGAGAGATGGTAAATGTCCTGTGGTTGTCTCTGTGTGGTAGATATGATGTGTCACCAGAAACAAGGTCCAGAGACCTGTGCGGGAAGGCTAAAGAGCGCAGCGAGGAATGATCGGGAGGAGTGCGGTGTGGATCTGTGGCGCGACTTGTTGGGTGGGCTCGTAGTGGGAACGGCAAAGAGTGAGAGTGGTGATTACGGAGTCCGTTCGGAGGAGATGATGGACGATCGGGTGGAGAAATATGTCACCTACTCATGGACCCACACACCACACGACCCACTAGCCTCCTGGAGACGACGTGTATATTGTGTTCTGATGAGATGAAATTGCCGGGAGAGAAAGAGGCGCAGAGATAGATTACGTCATCTGGCGAGTCGGTCACAGGTGCACGGAACAGAAAACGTGCCCTGAGCTATTTGAGTTGTTGTTGGGCGGCTTCGCTTGGAAACGATGTATCTAGCATAGTTACCGATGTGTGTGTGTTGCCATGTTATGTCCTACTCTCTGTGCAGACCCCACACTCACTATCAACAACCTCCGTCACATCACCTCTTCAGTCCAGGACTGGTATGATCTGGGGAACTATGACTCTGGTCTTGGTGTTCCTCGTCCTGTGCTGTATGAGATCAGAGCCCAGACAGTGGAGGAGAAGAAAACAAAGGTCCTACTCTACTTCCTCCACAATGTCCCCATGGCCTCCTGGGAGAGAGTTGCAGGAGCACTGTACTACAAGAAGGAGAAGAGGGCATTACAGGCAGTGAAGGAGTTCCTACGAGTCTCACCAGGTCAGTCCGCTGTGTCGTCATAACTCGCCGTCCCTAGAAACAGCTATGTTCTCCCGTGGTTACCGTGACCTTTGACCTTCGGTATAAATACTGTACTTGTTCCTTTCCCTCGTTCCTTTTGCATCCGCGCCCGTTTCCCGTTTTCCGCGGGGGTGTTATAGTTTTGGCCTCGAGTATCGTTTTGTTTACATGTCCTGGCTGTGCTGTCGAACGCGGGCACAGTCGTTTATGCGCCTTGACTGCCGTCAACGGCAGCGATTAGCGTTCGAGCGATCTGGGGCTACGCCCACTTTTGAAAAAGGCGTACCAGGGTCGCAAGGAGGCAGCCTAGAGAACGATGCCGCGTCTGGGAACGGAAGGCGCTCCAGCGATGCTGAAAAAAAGCGGCCCTTCGACTCCGCGCGGTACTCCACGCACGGAACGAAACGGAACGGAACGGAACAGTATGCGAGCGATATTGAACGCCGTTCGGTAACGTTGCACCCCAGTTTAGTGCCTTATGGTAGCGATCGTGACTTCCATGAAACAGAAATACTTGCCTGGCATTGTCAGCAACCAGCTGCTTGTTACACAAGAATTTCTCTCTCCTGTTGTGTTCCCAGAGGCCAGTCTCACTCCAGAGAACCTCTCCACAGTTCTAGACATCATGAGTTGCGGTCTGTGGAGGAAGTTTGGTAGATATGCCAACATACCAGACTCTGAGTTGGACAGGATCAAGGAACAGTGTACCAGTGACAGAGAGTGCAAACAGGCCCTCATTCTCTCCTTCATCTCCTCACATCCAGCACCATCCTGGACTCTTGTGGCATGGGCTCTCTACATGACTGAGCGGGACGAGGAGGACGGCAGTTGTCTCAGAGCATTGGATCACCTGCAGCAGCTGTTCCCCACTGGTACAGTGGACTTTCTTGGTTGGTTGACGCTCCCTTCAACATGTTCACTTTACTCCCGTGCAGGAAGATTCCGCTCCAAACAGATCTACGAGCAGGAGATGAACGAGGCCACATGAGCTGGACTGACAAAATGCTGCTGTTGGCACGGCTGGCAGTGCAAGACGTGCTCCCTCGCTGCACTGCGGAGTGGACCCTCCACCATCCGACACAGCACTCCAGTCATGAAAAGACCATCGAGGTCGTGTTCGGGAGTCGACGGCAAAAAACAGTGGAAAAGGAAGAAACGAACATTAGACCAACTACCAGACACCATCGTGAAGTATGTAATGCGGTCGGAATGCACGGCAACAGTCAGTGGAACAGAGCAGTGGTGGCCAGCCTCCACACCGACAGCAAGCCCGTCAGCTCAGCCAACTCCAGGGAAGAGGAGTAGCTCCACGTCTGAAGAGCCGGGAAGAGCACAGCATCTCAGAGGAGAAAGCCCAGGACCAGGAGCAGCAGGAGACAGAAGGGAGGCTGGATTCCATGACTAACTTTCGAGTTCGGTGGACGAGGGGTTTGTACATCTCATCAACAGTGCTCCTCCTACCTGGAGCCATCCTGCGACTGAAGCAGTTCCTCATGTTGGACTCTGGCGGCCAGCCCGAGCTCTGGAGATGATGCCCGTCTTCCTGAGGGGTGCATCCAAATTCGTCTACGTCTTGAAGCTCCACGAGTCTATTGACAAGCGAGCGACGAATCCGTTACTTCAAAGACGGCAAGCTCGTGTGGAGAGTAAACAGCCTACCTGACCACGAAGGCGACCCTGCGACTGTGCGTGCGGACCATGACGGGCCATGAACAACAAGAACCCGACGTCCCTCCCGCCAAAATGATCTGTTTCTGGCCACCCACCGACGAAATGGTGGCAGACGAGCAGCTGCCCGGTGTCAGTGCTGGACACTCTGCACAAGAGGCTGAGGGAGATCCTATTGCCTCAGTCAGGGAGCAGATCAATTACAGCGGATAAAAAAAAAAAGGAAGAAGGGGAGTGAAATAAGGAATTGAAAGGCAAAAGACGGAGACTAGGGAGGAAAGGCGACAAGGGGGAGGGAAGAAGGAGGGCCAAAGAGGTGGGGAGAAACGAGAAGGAGGGGGAAGGAGCGGAAGGGACGGTGTGGGCGAAAGACAACACGGGGCGTAGAACGGGAAACGACTAGGAAGTAAAAGACAGTAGGAGAGGACACCCGTCGCAGGTGGAACAAATGATGAATCTGGGAAGATAGGGTGCTGCCATAGAGAGCTTGTGGCCAGCAGTGGCAGAGTCGAGGGAGACTGGATGTGACGAGTCGTGTGGGGAAGCCCTGAACTTCTTCGCGGTTCTGAACATGCTTTTCTACTTCCCGAACATTCTGACCCAGCTGGTGTTCATGGTTAAGCCACAGATGTTGCTGGATAATCGGAAAAGCTGGTGGAGGAGAACTTACAAACATGAGGAAGGAAAGAAATGCGTGAGGGGGAGAAGAAGAAGCTGGAGGTTTTCCGTGACCCCGGCGAAGAGAGTTGACGGGGAAAAAGTTTCTGGGCGAGTTAGAGAAGCCCATAAGAGCCACCTCTGTTAACACACAAGAGTGGGACAATGATATAAAGCCGCGAGGAGGGAGGGTAGACGGGAGAGACGGAGCGAGGCAAAGACAGGGATTAAGCGAAGGAAGCGAGTTATGGATAATACCCACTCACACGCAGGGGGCCTCTCCGGGTGGAGGGGAACGCGAAATCGGGGGGGAGAGGAAAAAAAGATGAGGCCACGGGGAGGGAAAGAACAGGGTAGACCTATGAAAGGACAAAGAAAGACCGGTCAATAGGCATGGGACGAGGAAAGGTGCAGGAGAAAAGGTAGACTTTCCTAATGTAAAAAGAAAAAAGGCATCAAAAATGACTCCGGAGAGTGGTTCAAGAACGAGGCAAGGAGATCGAGAATGACTCCATCGCAAAGTATCGAGCTTTTCACGTCCCCAAATACGTCGGGGCACCGTTCACTCATCGATCACTCAACCCATTTGAACCCTCCACATATGCACAACACCAAGAAGGAGGCAGCTCAGCTGTGAGAGGAAAACGGGGGCACACGACGCAGTGTTTGAAGGTCTAAAGAAAGAACGGGGAAGGACCATCGGCTACACACCAAAAAACTACAGTAACAGCAACATGTATGCCCAGCACACCAAGCCCGGCCAAAACCCCACCCGCAGTCGTTGACAGTGGCACTGGGCATGCTCAGTCAACTTAGAACGAAGTTTGGAGACATTGACGAGGACGCTATTTCCCTGGCTGACAATATGCAAGTCTACCTGGAGTGTGCGAGGTCAACCCATGAGGGATATATTGGGGAAGAGCATAATCCTTTAGACTTTATATAGGGGGGCTTTGATCTTTCTTTTCACAACGACCATCTAGAGGGACGTGAGTAACCGAAAACGAAGCGAGAAGGACACGAGGAATACGGAGGAGGCCCAACCAAGAGCTCGAAATAAAAGAGAACACCAGACGAAAACAGAGAGTTAGCCAGAAAAAGAGAAGAAGGAAGACACGAGAAAAACTGAAAAAAAAATTGGACGACGAAACAAACTCAAAGAAAGGGGGATTTGAACGATGTGAAGTGGAAAGCAGAGAGGGGCTGCACTAACGATTGGCGAGGATCCGAAAGAAGGAAGGGAAGAAGCGGCGAACGGGGCAATTATACTTAGTGGCTCAACGAGTGAGTGGGGACAAAGTATATAAAATACTGCCTCTGTCCTATCCCTCCCTGTAATATCCTCCTGTCTCCTCTACCCACTCCTACACCACCCTGGTGAGTCTCGTGAAATATAAGATTTTGAGCATATCCTATTTTAAAACGAAGGTGAAAGAAAAAGGAAAAGGAGGATCAAGAAGCAAAAGAAACGGAGCACACCCAAGCAGAACTACGAAAAAGAGAAGAAAGAACTAAGAAAATGAAGAATAGAAACGAAGAATGAGGGGTGTGAAGGGAGACGACGGCGCTCAAGGCGAAAACTACGATTAACGCGAAAGGGAAAGGGATACCTCTGTCTACACTAAAAAAGAAAAGAAGCTCGGGGCAGAAAAGAAAGTCTCAAAGGCAACACGCGATAAGAAAAAAGACCCCGCCGAAGAAGAGAAGGAGAGAAGAAAAATAGGGAAAGCGGGCGGGGGGGAAGAAGGGAAAAAGAAGAGGGTTGTATGGGGAGGTGGTGGAGGAGAAGAGGAGAAACAGGGGGGGAGGAGGCACAAAGTACCGAGCCCTCATCTCGGCACGCTGAGGAGCGAGGGACCAGCGTTGGCGGGACAAACATCAGAGACAAGGGTGAGAGAAGACGGGAAACAACATTAGAACAACAACCAAACTGGCTGTTGCTACAACCCCACTGGTATTATGTTTGCGTCCGGTCCATCAGTCTGCTACTGAACACAACACAAAGGTCCATCCATCATTTTTCATTTACCATTATCAATCTATGTTCAATGCTTCAGCGCATGCGCGTGCCCTCCTCACTACAGCAGGCGCGGTAATTGTCGCTAGTCGCCGCCGCTGCGAAGAGTCGTGTGTTTGTACGTGGGAGCAGTGAGTAACCTCATCGTCGGTCCAGCAGTAGTAGTAGAAAGCTTATCGCTCTCTCTGCGCGACTCGTGCTCATGTCCTCTCGTACACCACACGCTTCTAGGGAGACGACGGCTCGGACGGACAGCTAGGGTGCGCTAGAATCTTCTCAGACGAGAATGGAGCGAGACCCATCTCTCACTAGGAGTCTCCACACTCTGCCCTGACTGGCTCTGGTATATAACTATACAGAGTGAGGTAGCAGACCAGAAGTAGAACGCAGAGACAGCGACAGGGCAGAGACTGGTATCGCCTAAAGAGGGGCAATAATAGCTGAGAGGTCTAAAGAAGGACAGCGATATCGTGTTAGTGTGAATTTTTAGTTTAGATTCTGTGTACGTTTCATTCTGTCACCTGCAGGAGACATGGCGTGGTACCACGTTCTCTCCTTCTCTGTATGTACAACTCCCGTTCTCTTTACATACTGTTCCTTGCTGAACTCAAGGTTTGTTTTCTTCACCTCCCTCCCTCCCTCGCCCCGTATTTCCCCCAGTCAGACCAGTCAGTTCAGTAGTCACCTAGATGGAGATGTGGAGGTGGAAGTAAGAAGTGGAGAGGAGAAAGTATGAGAAGAGGGAGAGTCATCAACGTGGTCAAGTTTCTTGTTGAAGATATCCACAGGTTGTGGTGATGTGCTAGTACTTAATGACCAGGTGTGAAGGGAAAACAAGACGACATAGGCGCTTGAAAAATTCGGCGGGGGAAGGTGACCGTCGAGAACGAGGAAAGATGGAGAAGCGGAAGAGAGAAAGAGAAAGAGGAGAACAGAGTGAACGAAGAAAGAGAGAAAGGTCAAGGGGGAAAGAGAGGGAGACACGCGGGAACCCCGGAAGAGACAAGAGGAAAGAGGAGCACGAGGACAAGAGCACGCGAGAGGAAAGAGTAGAACAGAGGAAAGCGAGAAACTAAGAGGAAAGAAGAAAGAGGAAAGCGGAAAGAGGACAGAGGGAAAGAGAGCAAGCGGCAAGAGAGAACGAGGAAGAGGAACGCAGAGAAAGGGAATGAGAGAACGGAGGAAAGATAGAAAGAGGAAAGAGGAAAGAAGGAAAGAGAGAAAGAGGACGAGGAAAGAGAGAAAGGTCCCTTCCCTCTATACCTCTTCCCTCTTCCCTCTTTCTCTCTACCTCTCCCAATGTACCGTTTCATCTCTCAGGAAAGGGACATTACTCAGATCATTAGACGGGAGGCCAGACACTCCATATTCATCCCAGTTCCCGATGACTTTGTAGCTCAAGACTGCTAGTCCACTTATTCGCACATTGTCTTCCTAGTCGTTTCATGCTCACTCTTAAAGATGTTTATCATTTGTTCTAGTTTTATTTGAATACCATTATAACGTCCCCCGACTGGTCCCCACACGAACTTAGGAACTCGTCGTGGTGGTGGAGAGAGAGGGGTTAAAAGTTGATCAGGTAGAGAGAGGGGTTAAAAGTGGATTATTGTAGTCATAATCCACAAGTTCGTTCGAATGTGGCAATTTTCTACATTGTGACGCATGCCGTAGATTCCAAAATCAAACTGCTGTCTTCACTTACCAAACCTCTAGTATAGTCTCTGATGATTGTTGGTGTGTGGATGCAGTGGGAGCCAGCAGTGGTCTGGATGGTGGTATCAGGACATGGGACCTCACCACAGGAGTATTGACGGAGGTCCCGTGGATGTGTGGACACTCACCTTCTCCCCTGACTCAGGACACGTGTCAACACACTCGCATACATATCCAGACTCCTCTGAGATACAGTGGAACCTCTCTCTTTAGGACACCCCTGAATGAGGACACCTCTCTAAATTATTCTTTCCCCAAGAACAGTTCTTACTGTGCATTTTAACCCCTTAAATAAAGACCAACTCTGCTTCCATGGCAACAAAGAAACCAACAGTGCTACCGTGGCAACCAAAGATGACGGAACTGGTTTATCAGTGGCACCAGAAGGGACGACAGAGGACGATGGAATGGTGGAAATGACAGGAAGACATCTTTATTAATTTTATTCAAATTGTGTGATAATAGTTAGTGAGGTGTTGGTGGACGCATGTTTCAGATGTAGCCTTTGCTCTTGCGGTAGTACTGGTAGCTGTCATAGACATTCTGCTCCAATTCCTGGATGACGACAGGATCCAGCACTACAGCTGGTTTACCATCCTCAAATGTGTGGACCCTAGGATGATACCTGAGACAGCGGGAGGGGGGAGAAGGGAGAGGGGAGAAGGGAGGTACTAATAAGAATTGGGAATTGGGATGGGGAAAGAGGGACCAGAATTCTATACACAGGAAAGAATTTTGCCATTTTGCATAAAGAATGAGCACAGAACTAGAAGATAACCCAAATCAAGAGAGAGCGAGATTAGCGCTTGTCCTATTCTACATATACCTCCTGTTCTCGTCCACTGGTCCGAACAGGTAGCTCCACTCGTGGGAGTAAACCCAGAGTGGGTGGACAGAGAACACACACAGAGCCGGGTACGGAGGCTCCATCTTCTGAGCCTTCTGCTCACACCTCACCACCGTCAGCTTTGTCATCCCCTCGTCCGACGAAGAGAAATCCGCGTCTTTGATTCCATAGCGACGCTTGCTGCTGCGACACAGCATCTTCCTCAACGTCTTTGTCATTTCCTCGTTGTTGCTAGGGTCGAGGTACGAGATGCCCGTTGCCAGGGGATATATCTTGGTCTCCAGGTCCTCCTCCACTCCACACAGGAGTACATACGACTTGTCCTCCGACTGGGGTGGATTACATCATCATGATGTAAGGGTAATTTACACCAGCTTCATGCTGCCAGCTCAGATTATGTATAACACCAAGTAAAAGATTGTGACAGATAAAGAAATGAGGACACCTCTCTAATAAGGATACCTTTTCTTTCCCCAAAAACAGTTCTTGTGTGCAATTTAACCCCTGAAATAAGGACACGTTACTACTTTAATCTGTCCCACCGGAACAAGGGAGTTCCGCTGGGCGTATAGTACCTCATCTAGCTAGTGCTATCAGCTAGTGATTACCTCTCTATTGTTGAGTGCGGCACTGGTGAACCGACAGAGATAGGTATACAAGTCCTTCTCAGTGGGAACGTCTCTCTCACTGACGTAGTAGACCTCGAACCTCTTGGTGTCGGCTATCATGGCTCCAAACTTGGCCTCTCTGACATACCTGGCCATAGTGTCTGATGGAGAGAGAGAGATGGTGGGGGGAGTGACTATGAGCTATATAATAGGATGGTAACAATTTCTGGCAGAGCTTTTTGTTGGAAATGGTAAAGCAATGCATATCGCCGAAATTTTTTGTTGTGATAATTATTCATTTTCTATAGGAGTCATTACTGCCCGCAGGGTTTGGATAAAAACGGCGGAATTTTCCAGTTCTTATTTATATGTGAAAGAATGAAGCTCTTACTTCCTAACATCAGTGTTTTACATCTGTACATGAGAGATATAGTATATATGAAGGGAGACTGGATGGCCCTCACCATGGAGATCATGATGGTTGTGGCACAAGCGTAGTTTAGGAGGCAGCATCTGGCTGTTGATCCAGTAGATGAGCTCCTGGCGATCACGTCTCTTTATCTCCTCCTCTGACGGCTTCATCTCCATCAGCAGCTCCTCCAGCTCCTCGGGGTCAAGGTCGTCGCCATAGCGATACATCATCTCCCGTCGCATCACTCCAGTCCCATGTCTCCGACGAGTCCCGGTCGTAACCACGGCGATACATCCTGTCTCGCCGCATTCCTGAGGGTGAAAGGTCAACGAGGACACACACACAAACACTAGACAAGTGTAGGTTGCGGAGTATGAACACAAGAAGTGGATATCAAATAATTCACTTACCCAGTGCTCTTCAGCAGTATAGATAGTAGGCGAAAAATACTCTGTGCTAATGCACATGGCTACTGCAAAGCCATAAGCCACGCCCACCAACCATCTACACCTAACAAACGCTGCCCGACATTAGAAAGAGAAAATGAAGACCAATTTTTCCTACAGAATTGTCCCTCACTGCAAAGAACTCCAGATCTCTCTCTCCGCAACCGTCTCGGCCCCCGACCACCATTTTGAGTCTATTTCTCCGTTGACCACGCGTATCCAAATTCAAGAGAGAATAGTATACGGAGACAGACTCGCGCATGCGCATTTACACGCTTTCTTTGCGCATGCGCGTACTGATTGAAATATCCGCGTGGCCCCCGGCGAAAAGACACTCGCGTTCTAGCATCCGCAGCTGAGGAGAGGACCAGGGACGAGTCTGTATCACTGTCCAGGGATCATGGACCTCTCTATACTCTGTCTGACTGCAGTTCTCTACGTAACGTCTCAACAGTGCAGGGCTGAAAGTGGTGAGTAGCAATGTCGTCCAAGAGAAGCGGGAGGTGTCATGCCTTGTTCGGTACAGAATATACTCACCGCAAGGCTGTATGGTGTATTGCAGTGTAGTAGATCCCTATTCGTAGTGTGTGTTTGTCAGTGAGTGTTAATGTATGTAGCTAGCGGAGGCTGGATCTCGTGTCCAAGCATTTCTCTATCTTTTGCCAAAATCTCCACTTAGTGCATGCAGCCACTGTGTACGTTGCATTATAGCCGTACCGTCAGTGTAGCTAGCACTGCAGCTGTTTAGGGTTGTCTTGGCTACGCTCCTGCTACCTGCCTGGCTAACTATGCTGTTTGTAGGTCTCCCTTGAGCCACATTCTCCAGTGATGGCGTGTACTGTCAACATGTTGAGGTAGCAGTGGGTAGCATATGTAGTGGTGGTTGGAGCGTCTGCCAGAAGCTCATTAGACTGTTGTCCTTCCACTGACACAAGACTACCGTCACATATGTTACACTTCGTCAGGGGTCGATCCAGATTTTCACATTACAGAGAAACATGAAACATATGTAGAAAGAGACTTGGTTCTGCCTCTTACTACAGTGGAACCCCTGTAATCAGGACACCATTCAAACAGAAGAAAGTGGCCATATTAGTGCATTTCTGTTTCTCTCTCTCTCTCTCTCGTCGTCCTAGGTAATGTGGGAATACCTTGACGACGGAGGACTGTGGCAGGCATGCAGCGAGGACGACAGCTTCAAGATTGAGGCTCATTTCTTTGAGGGCTCGCAGCAGTTTCACCTTGGAGATTATCACTACCATCTGAGTCACATGACCCGCTCACACCCGCAGACCAAGAACCACCAGAGGATAAAGAGGACTCTGTTTGTTCAAGAGAGGAGAGATGGTGAGGGAGGGAGGGAATGAAATGATGAGATGAGAGATTAAAGAAAGGTGAAAGGTCATACAATTTGAAAGACAATCTTCAAGACATTTAAAATGTTTTTTATTCGGAAGCTGCCCTTAAACGTAGAGTTCACACATAAAGAGTCCAAAAAATGGTAATAGAAAAAAGAAGAGAGTGAAAATGGTGAGACACCGAGATAGAATGGAGACTAAGTAACCATGTTGAAAATAACAAGTACACAATATGTAAATGTTGTTGAATGGTTGTGCATTCTTTGACTGCTGTCATTGTTGTCTTCCATCCACAGTTCTTCACTCTACAATGAAAGACCTTCCAGTGAGTTGACTTGTCCTCTTAACTGGTCCTTCTTCAACCACTTCAATAATGATCTACTTAACCCCTTTAAGACTACTCTCGTTGCACAATTACCAGACCTTGAAGAGTATCATTCTTCAGTTAACCCTCTCTGTCTCCCGTCCCCCATGCCGTTCCTCCTGGACCTGCACGACATGAAGTTGGTCAACTGACTGCATACACAAGAAAGGGTCTGCCGTGAGATACAACCTCCGCAGGATCGACCAGAGCGATTCCATGGTCTCTGGTGAGTCATGTGATCCTCATGTGACTGTCATGTGATCCTTGGTTCATCTACAGTCATTATGTGTTTGTCACAATGTGCATAGTAATGGTTCAAAGGTGGCCATCATGTGATCCTCATGTGACTGTCATGTGATCCTTGGTTCATCTACAGTCATTATGTGTTTGTCACAATGTGCATAGTTATGGTTCAAAGGTGGCCATCATGTGATCCTCATGTGACTGTCATGTGATCCTTGGTTCATCTACAGTCATTATGTGTGTATCACAATGTGCATAGTTATGGTTCAAAGGTGGCCATCATGTGATCCTCATGTGACTGTCATGTGATCCTTGGTTCATCTACAGTCATTATGTGTGTGTCACAATGTGCATAGTTATGGTTCAAAGGTGGCCATCATGTGATCCTCATGTGACTGTCATGTGATCCTGAGTTTGTGTATATGTTTTAAACATGTATATACCAGTGTACTATGAACTTTTGGTTCAGAGATACTGATCATGTGATCCTCATGTGACTGTCATGTGAGCATTTAGTCCATTATTTATGTATTATTTCAGCCCTAGACCATTTCCCCTACTGATGTCTCTCTCTCTCCACTCCTCCCCCGCAGCCTCACAGGCACCACAGCCGAGGGCTCCATCACCTGATGATTTGACACACACCCCCATCCCAAGACCTGGGGGTTCCCCTAATTCTCCTCTCTTCCAACCTCTTCAGGTACAGTATGTTCTCTATTGCCTTGGCCGTCCCTCAGTTGCACGTTCAGCGTATTAGCAACCAGGGCGAGTCCACCTACATTTATCTGAATTTAACTGTGTTTTGTACAAACGACACTATCACTATACTATAATTGTGCACTCGCATTCACACATTTCTACCAGCAGGGAAGTCTCCGTGTAGCTGTAGAATAATCATCGATTTGTTTGCCGTTATAATCATTCACCTGTGAACATATTGTGTGGTACAGGATACTCTGCAGAGGCTGCAGATGGACAGGAAGACCATCAACTACAAGAGGATGATTGGAGAAGGAGCTTTTGGAGAGGTCTGTCTCTCTCTCCCTCTCTCTCTCTTTCTCTCTCTCTCTTCCTCTCTCTCTTTCTCTAAAGGCACTCTCTCCACACTCCCTCCCCCCTCTTTGGTCCCTATTCCGTGTCGCAGGTGTACCTGGCGGAGGTGACTGGGGTTCCGGGGTTCCAGAATCAAACCATGGAGGTTGCGGTCAAACAACTCAGATGTATGTTGGCCACACCCACCACACGAGATTACTGCCAATTTTAAAGCTTTATCCAATTTTATGGGCCATCTGAATTTCTCCCTCCCTCCCTCCCTTCTTCCTCAGTGAGTGACTTCATAGCTCGTCATGGTCACCACAGCCAGCAGATGGAGGACTTCCTGCGGGAGGCAAAGGAGATGTCGAAAGTCGACTATCCTTACGTCATCAAACTCCTTGCAGTCTGCACGCTGTAAGTCAGGGGCCGTACCATATCTTGCTAGTCTCACACATTGTGTGCGAGTGTTTTTCACTGGCTATAGTGGTGTTGACTTATGTTACAGATCCACATTCTAATTAAGCGAAGGGTTGTGTAGGGGGCCCGAATGAAAGAAATATTGTAATGGACCACGCGATCCCGAGGAGAACGGACAGAACACCTTCAAAATACCAAAGACACTTATTGTATCATAACAGTTATAAAGGTGCATGCATAAAGTCAATTCATTGCTTTCGTGAACTCGGTGGTTGTGGTATGATGAACAGTGAGCTCTGACCTGTCTGGTGTAGTTGTTACGCAGCAGGACTCTCCGCCTTCCACCGCAACTGGATCTGACTTCTCGTGACCTAAGCACACACACACCACATGCATCCTACTCAACCTGCACTGTATCCTACAGCTACTTTATACTGCTCAATGCTTGTGTAGAAAGAGAGAGGGGGTGAGGAAGACGGAGGAGAGGGGATAGGCTAACCTGGCAACTTATGTTACAGATCCACACTTTGCACTTCTGATTAAGCGAAGGGTTTTGTAGGGGGCCTGCATACAGAATAAATATTATAATGGACCACGCGATCCCGAGGAGAACGGACAGAGAACCGTTAAACACCTTAAAAATACCAAAAGTCTCAAAAACACACTTTTTCGTGTGATTTGATTTGGTTGATTAGGAATAGGTGTTAAAGGGGCTACAATACTTTACTTTTTGTCCACTCATGGACATAAGTCATTTGCTGCTAAAAAAACATTTATTCCCTGCTATCTCCCACACCCTCTCCACCCCAGTGACCTACCCAATGTTACTGATAGAGAATTCATGAACAACGGAGATCTACTGGGTATCCTCAAAGACAACCGACCCAGCATGCCTCTACCAGCCCAACTCAACTTCGCCTTTCAGGTCTCTGACGGCATGCGATACCTCGCCGATGAGCTGTAAGTCACATGATTCTCACATGACACCCACACTGCACTCTCCATATAGTCAAGGTATTCAGGTGGCAGGTTGGTCTGTCATACTTGTACCACATGCTTGCTAAAAGTACAACAGTTACACCCTTTTCCCATGCTATTCTCTATCATGTGACGTAGGTCATCATTGTGATGTCATGTGCACCTGCAGAGCTGTGTCCATAGAGACCTGGCGGCCAGGAACATCCTGTCCATCAGGACGACTCTGAGTTTCATGCACACCAAGATTGCCGACTTTGGCCTGTCACGGTGATCCACTATCTACACTGCATGATCCCTGAGAATGTATGCAGGGACACCTCTCTATAAGAACCTTGGCTCTAATACATTAGTGTATTATACTACGATTTTTATGTAGAAGCCTCAGGCACTTTACGCACGCACAAGACCCTGGGGCTCCTGAGTTGTTGTCTAACCTTAGTTTTCTCCCTCCGCCTCCTTCCTCCCTCCTCCCATCCCCTTCCTCCCTCCCTCCCTCCCTCCCTCCCTCCCCAGTCATCTCTACTCTGACATGTACAAACACCAGGAACGAAGCCACGCCCACTACCGGCCAAATGGATGGCTCTGGAGTCACTCATTGAACTTCACCTTCACCACTAAGTGACGTATGGTCAGTGGCCTGGGGTTAAACTACCAGTTGGCTTAGGGTTTAAACAAAATTCAGTCAGCCAGGGATTTTAATGTCCAGTGGGCAGAGAGTGGTTAATCTAGTGGGCAGGGAGTAACGGGTTAAATCTGAATCACTAATAGCAGCTTGGGTTAAAACATTATTATTGTATGACCTGAGTTAAGTGTGTAATTGTTTTATTTCCCAGGAGTTGACGGTGTGTTTCTTTTTGTCTATGGGAGATAATGACATGGGGCGGAGTCCCTACCCCTGGGAGTGGAGAACAGAGAGCTCCTGGAGCAGATGAGGAGAAAGGGTTAAAACTCAGCAAACCAACTCTGTCCACCAGAGATGTGAGTGAATTGGTAGCAGCCAGCTACATTATATAGCAATGTTGTTCACCCTTTATTTCAACTTGGCTCTTTCATCTTTTCCCTAGATATCATGTGAGCCCCTACATTGCATGGGATCACATGATAGTCATGTGACGATATATCTCCCTGTACAGCTATGAGGTTTCTGGACTGTACTCAGCACCAACACTGATGAGAGACCCACATTGGAGAACTCAAAGACACTATGGTACAATACCTCTCTAATAGGCAACGTGGTCATTTGGGCTCATAATACTGGAATTTGTGCAACTCAACAAATTGCCTTGTGTATGCCTTTATGTATGTTGGCCTTTTAAGGAATAAGGACGCACCTTTTCCCCGTTCTTGCATTTTAACCCCTGAAATAAGGACACCTCTCTAATGTCTTCTTCACTTCTGTCTGGATTAGCTTCCACTGTGACTAACCTTCCCTCCTACCCGTCTCCCACGTAGGCAGAGTTCTTCACCACAGGCATGGAGGGAAGATGACCCACCCTAAGGAATCCCCAACTACCAGCTCCCTGCCCAGCTCCACCTCCTCACTACCACTGACCACGCCACTGAGAAGGTTCGTGTCCAGTTGTAGCCACACACCCTTCATTGCCTGAGCTAGACAAAACTCAAAAGACGGGACAACACCCTATGTATAAAGAAACAATGTCTTCAGAGGCTCCACTCTATTGTATGATGCTCTATGCAGTGTGGAATGTTCATGACTAATGTTCTCCCAACCCACTTCCTCCAGGCCCCCAGCGCCCCGAGAAGTCCCCCCAACTCCAGAGACCCCCCAGCCTAAACCCAGCCCCTTCCTCCAAACCACCTCAACTCACGCTCTCTCTCTCATCTCTCACCTCTCACAAACACACACCCCCTTCATCTAGGCCTACCTCCACTGCCACTAGGGAACTCTTCGTCGAAAAACTCGTCAAACAAAACCACGCCCAACAACACTCCAAGAGTGCATCACATCGGGTAACAGGCCAACTCTGTTTCCACGGGAAACCAAGACCAACTCTGCTTCATGCAACAAAAACCAACTCTGTTTCCAAGGCAACCAAGGCTAACTCTGCTTCCAACAGTGCTACCGTGGCAACCAAAGATGACGGCACTGGGAACTCGTGTGTACCAGAAGGGATGACGACCGAGGACGATGGAATGGTGGAAATGACAGGAGGACATCTTTATACCTTCTTGACCCTCTCGAGGACGAGGTCAAAGGTGAGAATCGGTGGGTCGGCACAAGCGTGGATCGGGACGGTCTCCATCCCAGTCCAATCACTGGAGAACGGAATCAGGACGGCCCAATGAGACTCCGCCCACACAATCAACACTCAGAGAATCCTAGCACCAATTACAGCAAATTATGCAACACACACAGATTATCATAATAAACACAAAATGAGCGTATGTTTTCCATGTTTTGTGTGTCTGTTATTCAAATTGTGTGATATAGTTGGTGAGGTGTTGGGGGAGCATGTTTCAGACTAGCTTTGCTCTTGCGTAGTACTGTAGCTGTGATAGACATTCTGCTCCAATTCTGGATGACGACAGGATCCAGCACTACACAGCTGGTTTACCGCAAGAATGGTCATGGGTCTGCAGAGAATGGTATGCTGTCTGCAGAGAATTGGTCATGCTGCGAAGAGGAAGTGGTCATGTCGTTGCAAGAGGAATGTGGTCATGTTGTCTGGCAAGAGAATTGGTCATGCTGTATGCAGGAATTGGTCATGCTGTCTGCAAGAGGATTGGTCATGCTGTCTGCAAGAGGAATGGTAGTTGTCTGAAAGAATTGGTCATGTGTCTGCAAGAGGAATTGGTCATAGCTTGTCTGCAGAGGAATGGGGTCATGCTGTCCTGCAGAGGAATTGTCATGCTGTCTGCAAGAGGAATTGGTCATGCGTTGTCGCTGCAGAGGGGGAATTGGTCAGCCTGTCTGCAGAGGAATTGTCATAGCTCTCTGCAAGAAAGGGGTGGTGTATAAAGAATGACACGGTGCTGAAAGATAACCCAATCAAGAGAGAGAGAGATTAGCATTTGTCCTATTCTACATGTACTGTACCTCCTGTTCTCATCCACTGGCCCGAACAGTACCGACTGGGGTGGATTACATCATCAGTGATGTAAGGATAATTACACCAGCTTCATGCTGCCAGCTCAGATTATGTATCAAACACAAGGAAAAATCGTAACATTGTGACAGATAAAGAAATGAGGACACCTCTCTAATAAGGATACCTTTTCTTTTCCCAAAAACAGTTCTTGTGTGGAATTTAAACCCCTGAATAAGACATGTACTACTCTTAATCTCGTCCCACCGGAACAAGGGAGTTCTGCTGGGTGTTATAGTACCTCATCTAGCTAGTGCTCTCAGCTAGTGATACCTCTCTATTGTTGAGTGCGGTACAGTGGGTGCGCAGATATATTTTCGTTTTTCTTTCGTTAGCAGAACTACACCCGAGAAGGATTATGACCACTGGTTCCCCACAACAGTGGAGGTCTGTACCTGCACTCACAGATTCACTGCATTTCAAAAGGTGGCATTTGGTATTGGTACGGTACACATCCATTGTGGTGTCAGTGAGTATCTTCCGACATTGAAAAAGGGGAGACCATACAGGCAGGTCCTTCTTCTCTCCCTTACCTTATCACTTACCTCTCGTCCTACTCTTCCTTCCTCATCTAACCCGCCCCTCTCCCCTTCTCTCTTCGCGAGGCGTATGTATACACTACTAACTGTGGGTGAGGGTCGTGCAGGCCCGGACGATCTCGACAGAGACGAGAGGCCTGACGATAGCGGACGGAGGGTCTCGTCGGGTTCTCGCCCCGCAGTCTCGCCACAGTAACTGGAAACTGTGAGGTAGAGGCCCTCGCAGGACGACGACGAGGACTAGGAACGCCGCGATAGAGCCGCGAAACATGACGATATTTACTCCTACGCCCTGTCTCACTCTTTGTTAGCTAGCCGGACACGTGGCCGTGGCGTGCGCGCGCTCATTCACGACGGCATGCGCATTGAATCACCTGACGTCATGACGTAACGTGAAGTGTTAGACAACGCTACATTAACCGGCCCTCTCCTTGACAACCTCATTTTGACTTTTTGCAGCAGCGCAGATGTGTGCTGCGCGTTCAAGCAGAAAGAGAGAGGAGAGTGTTTGATTTGTTTGTTAGTATGTCGTTGTTCTTGTCGCAATGTAGGCCGTTGAGAGTGTGTTAGAGCTTTTGGCAGTGAGCTGGCTGTCGGTGTGTGCACGTTCGTCAGAGCTAGCGGAGGAAAGTCAGTAGCTGAGGGCGAGCAGTAACGTAGCTAGTTGTAGTGGCGTCTCTTCCAAGAACGTGTAGGCTGTAGGCTGTAGTAGTCAGGTCGTAGCGACGGAGAGAGAGTCGGTAGTAGTCGTGAGATTTAAGAGATGATCGGGGCCAGAACTGCACGGCCACTAGCCTACTCCAGCTGGCCTGCCCCTCGCCCCTCGCCTCACGGCAAAAAATGTGCAGCTGATTCCCTCATTCTCTACTCTCTTTCTACTATTTTAGTAGATAGGTTCTGAACTAAAATACCATTAACCCAATATGGAAGTGCAAAACTACACATTCCCGCCCACAGAATTGTTTCGTGAGAAAGGGGTACATTTGTTTGCTGCGTTGTAGTGGGCGTAAAGGGGTTAATTGATAGCATACTAGTTAAGGGGTAAAGAGAGAGGGTGAGTAAATGTCGTTGTGGTTGTCTCTGGTGTGGAGATATGATGTCACCAGAAACAATGTCAGACGAGCTGTCAGGGGAACGTGACGGTGTGGACTGATGCGTCTGCGGGTACTGAGTTGGTGTCCTGGGAGAAGGTAGACGGTGAAAGGAATTCAGAGTCAGTCAGAGTGAGATGATGGACGAGAGGGGGACTAGGTTGGGTGTCTCTGTGAGGAGACAGGAGGAACTTAAGAGTCAGGTCAGAGGAGATAAGGGACGACAGGTGGAATATGTCACCTCTTCAGGGACCACGACACCCACTAGCTCCTCGGAGAAGCGTTAGTTATTGTGTTTGCTCTGACTGTTGAAAGAGTGGAGAGAATAGAGGATGCGATAGATACGACCTCTGCGCAGGGAGTCGGCACATTGTGAGGAAAAGAAACAGTGCCTGAGGCGTATTGTGTGTGTGATCGTCTTGGATGGAAACAACGATGTATCTGAGTGTGTATTGCATGTTATGTTTCGACTCTCTGTGCCAGACCCACACTCAATATCAACAACCTCGTCACGTCACTCTTCAGTCCAGGACTGGTATCATATGGGGAACTATCTCTGTGGTCGTGGTGGTTCCGAGGTCTGTGCTGAATGAGATCAGGAAGGTAGGCACGTCGCTGACAGAGGAGGAGAAGAAAACAAAGGTCCTACTCTACTATCTCTCCACAAGGCCCCGATGGCCTCTGGGAGCGAGTGGCAGGAGCCACTGTACTACAAGACGGAGAAGAGGGCATTACAGGCAGTGAAGGAGTTACTGCAGTCTCCAGTCAGTCCTCGTGTCGCCATAGCCTCGCCTTCCCTAGCAACAGCTATGTTCGCCAGTGGTTACCTTGACGTGACCTTCAGTATGATATCGTGCAGCACGTTCCGTTTCGTTGTCAGCGGTGGGCTGTTTGCTGTCTAGTTGCTGTTGGGTGTATATTGTTTTGCCTCCGTGATCGTGTAGTGTTTATATGCCACGACTGTCCGTCCAACGCGGTCCGACAGCAGTCGTTTCTGCGCTTGACTGACGTCGACGGCAGCGAGCGATTAGCGTTCGAGTTCTTTCGCGATCTAGTACGCCACTTTTGAAAAACGCGTCCAGGGCTTCCTTGTCGTGAAGGAGGCTGGCCTCGCAGCGAGAACGAAAAAACGCGACTGGAAACGGAAGGCGCTCACAGCGAGGCTGGACTTTCTCGAGAAATAAGCGGCACTTCGACTACCGCGAGTCGCATACGGGATGTATCTACGGAAACCGGAACGGTATGCAGTACGATATGGACGCACCGTTCGTTCGTACGTTACACCACAGTTAGTGTGTTTGGTTGCAATCGGTACTTGCATGACGCACAAGATGACTGGCTGCGTGTGTCAGCAACAGCAGCTGTGACACAAGAATTTCTCTCTCCGTGCTGTTCCAGAAGCCAGTCTCACTCCAGAGAACCTCTCCACAGTTCGAGACATCATGAGTGAGTGACGTTTGGGAGGCGTTGGTTAGATATGCACAACATACCAGACTAATGAGTTGGACAGCGATCGAGGCCACAGCGTACAGTGACAGAGAGTGCAAAACAGGACTCTATTT